AAGGTACAATTGAATGTTACACTATGAAACTATTCAGTTCATAATGAAGAATTGTTCAGAAACGTTAGAACCAGCTTAGAATGTAAGGATATATTGTACAGAACACAGTTTCAGGAAGACATAAGGTATTACATTGTGAAATACACTTTCAGACAGTTAGAATTCATTGGAATAGACTCAGGATACTTTATTAGATGTATTATAAACATTACAGACACTCAAACAGATGTGCTAGCACACATATACTTAGGTTACATAGTAAGAATCAGGTTATTCAAGCTACAGGATGACAATTACAATCTACAGGATGTAAAACTACTACAATCTATGTATCAGAATGACAGTAAGACACTACTGAGATTAGGAACAAACACACATTGTATGGAACAAAGTACAGAAGCCTAGAGGGCAACTTCAAGCTAGAGAACAGGTTCAGAACCTAAACAATCTACACAATCTGCTCAATGTGCTCAAACAGATTATCACACCACTTCAAGGGAAAGTGAAGGCAATACACATACAGCTAGTAAAGATCAGAGTAATAGTGAATTAGTAATGATCAAACAGACTATTTGAGTATACAAGCATAATACTTTAATACTACAGAAGGAAATAGAGTATTAGGAAGCTCTAGAACATCTATTAAACAATAATACAGTTCAATCTACTCTAGGAATGAGTAGTTACAATCAGTTTGAAGTATGAAAACATGTAGAAGACCTCTCCAGACACTCTAGACAGGTTTCAGAACTATACTAGACGTTTTACACTGAAAATGAAGTCATATTTTAATGAGAGGGCAAGAGGCACACACATTGTATTGTATACACACTCTTTGAGCATACAATCATGTTTGAACATACAATTTTCTTACTTGAATTGCTACAAAATGATTTTGCAAAGAACTTTATAGTACTAGATAGTATCAGTACTATAGGAAACAGGACACACAATAGGTACATAAGGAAGGAATACATTAGAATAAAGACAAGAACACAGAAAGACAGGAAGTCAGTACTAGAACACATTGATCTACACATGGATTTGTCAAATGAACAGAGAATTGGCAGCATACACTCAGGACTTCAGGCAGCACTACTGTACATACAGACAGGACATTTTATTGAGACATACATAGAACAATATAGTATACAGACAGTTACAGTACTCAGGAAAGTAGAGAACAATAGTTGGACACATTGTGATAGAACATTACACTATAAGACATTGAAAGTATACTCAGATGATTCAGAAATTGAATCAGTTGACTTACAAAGACACAAACAAGTTGAGACACAAGGAAACAGTATGAGAACACAGTAGGACATTCATTGTACACAGAGATACTATACATATATACACATATCTAGTAATATTAGACTCATACATTATGATCTCATTGAATTCAAGACAATATTCTCATTCAAAGACAGATATTACACTCTAGGTTACACTCTGTAATTAGTATTTAGACATTGAGCTCAACAGAATATTCAGTTTTGTATCACAGTTGGTTATTGTATGTAAAAGAGTACACATTTGGAGACATTCTACTAATACAAGCACAAAGTATTACATTTGCAGGAACTAGTCTATTGGAAAAATCAAGGACATAGCAGAGGAATTTTAGAATACATCTCTGCTACCTATTATTGTATAACTATTCTACAGAAGCAGAGAAACATGCAAGGACAGTTAGAAGCCACAACACTAATACATTCTATTGAGGAAGAAGGCTATAGCTTTGTTGATCAGGGATTTACCTCTGTACTTCCTGAAGATGTAGGAGAAGAGAATATTTGCAATTACTATACTGTCAGAATTTCTACTTCTATACATATTAATCTATACTGTATGTCTCAGAATACTCAAGAGCTAAAACACTATATCTCCCCAGGAACTCTACTGATTCCCTTTAAAAAGTGTTGTATTAATAGTAATAATCAAGAGGCAACTTTCCTACTAATTGACTATACAGTAATATTGACTACATTTAATTCTATTAATGTTTTATCTAGTTTTACATGGTTTGGAACCATGCTACTCACTGTCTAGAACACTACTACTGTCTCAATACTCACCAGATTGACTTTGGATCGGTTCAGAGAGGCAGTAATACATTACAAGGATGTTTCCTATACATATAGGTAAGGTATTTTATTATTTACTCATTACTAACTGTTACTTTTAAGTAAGTTTTCTGCCATTTTTACTGATTTTTAGTATTTAGGACTAAATACTAGAGGGCAAGTGTAAGGATTTGATTTACTGGTTTGTATTTTATTATTACTACATTGCTGATTGTGTCAGATCATTGTACAGTAGGACTTACAAGCATATATATTCTCATTGTAGTTAGTTACACTTCCTCCTTATGTATCTACACATGTACTACCCTATAAAAGACAGTATTGATTATTAAGTAAAGGGGATTCTTTTCCCCTAACCCCTTACTCAAGTACTAGGTTATCCTAGTTAGTAGTTGAGTAAACTAAGGGTGATTAGAATTCTCTTGTAAGGAACAGTGAGTTTCCTTACAAAGTGTAAGCCTACTGTATAGCTTACTATAGTTCTGAGGGTTCTGAGAGTTCTGCTCCAGAACTCTCTCATACAGTCTTAGACTACACATACAGTTCCCAATCCTGAGCCATGTATATAGTCTCCTTTTTCACTCATATTATACATTCCTTTAGCTTGAGCCAGTTTCCTTTCTTCTCTAGTATATAAAACTTATGTCTACACCTTTGTTATACTAGTTCTTATTTACTGACTGTAATAAAGGTGTGTCTTATCATGTATGACCAGTTCTTGTTTACTGACTGTAACAAAGATACCTTTGTCCTGTCAGTCTTTGTGTGTCCTACAATCTTTAAGCTTAGTGTTTAGTACTCTACTAGTACTGTTCTACTTTTTTTTTAACATTGACAAAGTAGTCTTTGTTACAGTATGTGTTAGTAAGGTTCTACTAGTCTTTCTAAACACCTTCCTACTATTAGTAAGGTTCTGACCTTCCCAAACACAATTCTAACATTACATTGGGAAAAAGTCTAAAAGGTTATATTACAATATAATGGTGTGAAAAAAGTAAAAAAAGTAAAAAAAGTAATTTACATATTATCAGACCTCGATTTATGATAAAGTCATATAACATTGTATAATGTACTATAAGGTTTATGAATGTAATAAAAGTACATAAGGATAATACCCCTTTAAAACATATAAAATGTATAATATCAGACCTCCCTTTTTTGAAAGGTATTATAAGGATTTCTGTATTTCAAAAGGATAATATATGTTTCTAATGTTTTACAGACTATATATAGTTATTATTTCTTCTTGATAATAATTTTCCTTTACATCCATTCATTATTACTGTTGTTTTCATAAATATTGTCACACATACAATTCGTGATTTTCGTCACACTAAGTACACTCAAATACAAAATCTACTATAACTCAACTAATACTTAACCAAATTACATGATCTAAGTTGTAAAAATTATACTTTTGAAGTATCTTTCATATTCCAGAAAAAATAAAGTAAAATGAGCAAAATTTGAGTAAGATACAACACAATATGTGAGTTTTCCCTATATTTCATGTATATGAGTTTTCCTAGCCCCTAAAACTGATTGTACAATACTATAAACTGTACTAAATGAAGAATATAACTTTATTGTTAATTTACATATTGAATTCTAACTAGGATACAGAATACACATAT